CCGCCGTGAGGGGGACCGTGACCCATCCTCGTGCTGGGAGCTCAGGGAGGGACTCCTGAGCTCCCTCAACCAGAGTCCAGGTTCTTATAGAACCTTCCAGAAATCAACTCCCTCTTTCCAAATAGGATTCTGAATGGTAAGTGTCACTCAGGAACCAATGGAAGCCCAAAACGTATCTATAAAATGGATCACGATCGCCCTGGCCGGTTTGGCTCAGCGGACAGCGTCGGCCCGCGGACCAATGAGTCTCAGGTTCGATTCTGTTCAAGGGCACGGACCTCGGTTGCAGTTTGTCCCCCGGCCCTGGTCAGTCTCGTGGGAGGCAGTCAATTGATGTGTCCCTCTCACTTCGATGTTTGTCTCTCTCCCTCCCACTCTCTCTGAACAAAAATGGAAAAGTGTCCTCGTGAGAGGATTAAAAAAAAAGGACCATGATCTTAAGAGAAATATATTAGAGAATTCTGAACACAACAAGACATGAGATCCTGTGTGGCCGTATGACAGCTGGCCCCTTGCTTTGATTATCTAAGACTTAAGAGACCTTATAATGACAGAATAACGCTAAAGACAAATTACCTTTGTATCTTAGGAATTGACATCAGCTCCGGCCTACCTTAGAATCGGACAGTGGCTACTTAAAATCTTTTTTTGATACTTAAGCTACTATAAACTGTAACATTCCAGTTTGTAAGATGTGTTAAGAGAACACAGGGTTACATTGTTGCACACATCCAGGCAGAGGGTACAAAGCCCTTTGCTTTCATCCTGGACGCCCAAGTACATGAGATGGGGAATGTTTTTTTTATCAAGCAGACAATCTGTTTTATCAAGAGCTGGTCTGCCATTTCTGTACACTTTCAGCTGAAAAAACAATCCACTACTTTTACATCATGTTAGAGAAAGAATGAACGCACGAGTTCCAAGCAACACAGCGGTTTTTCACATCTGAACTCCCCTGCTGATCGCTAGGAACCGTTTCGAATGTCCCATTCTGGGTCCCTCCTTGTGCCAAACCCTGGCCAAGTCTGCAGCGAGATCAGAGTTGCAACACATCGGACTTCAAGCCATGCCGATGCTACACAGACCAAGAGTGAAATCAAAGTCTTTTTTTTATTTTTATTTTTTTATTGCTTTTGTCTCCTGCAGCCTAGGAAACGACCTCAAATTCCTTGGTTTAGCTGCATTACTGTTCTGTGCTTAGAAACGCTGTGGTCCGGTCTGTCGTAGGTCAAGGGATGGCGGACATGAGGCAGAAGTGAGCCCAGCCCCAACGGGCTCAGTAGCAGGTCAGCACATTGAAGAATGGGAAAGTTGTTGATTGGTTGGTATTTGCAAAATGCATTTTTTAACAAGAGTGGTGAGCCCCACTGGTGTGGCTCAGTGGCTGAGCATCGACCCATGCACCAAGAGGTTAGGTCACGGGTTCGATTCCCGGTCAGGGCACATGCCCACGCTGTGGACTTGATCCCCAGTAGGGGGCGTGCAGGAGCCAGCCGATGGATGTTTCTCTCTCATCGATGTTTCTCTCTCATCGATGTTTCTCTCTCTCTCCCTCTCCCTTCCTCGCTCTCTAAAAATCAATAAAAACATATTTTAGAGAAAAGGGTGGTGGTGGTAAGAACCACCTCATCTGATCCAAAATGGTTCTGTTTCTTTTCTTTTTTTTTTTTGTTTATCCTCACCCGAGGACATTTTTCCATTTTTTGTTCAGGTAGAGTGGGAGGGAGAGAGAGGAACAGAGAGAGAAACATCGATGTGAAAGGACACATCGAGTGGCTGCCACCCGCACAACCGACCAGGGCTGGGGACAAACTGCAACCGAAGTACGTGCCCTTAGCGGGAACCGAACCCGGGTCTCTCCGGACCGCAGGCCGATGCTCTAACCGCTGAGCCAAACCAGCCAGGGCTGGTTCTGTTTCTTGTATCACCCTCTTTTCCACGATTCCCAATGATCTAAACACTGAAGGAAGGACAGATATTCATTTCCTTTCACCAAAGAGCTGGGGAATATAAACCCTTTAGGCAGACTAGAAATAAAACACAATTCCAGTAAGTGTTAAACCAGATTTAAGTTTTTTTTTGTTTTTGTTTTTGTTTTTTTTTTTTTAATTCAAACTGACCCAAAGCAAAACAAACTTGCGTTACAAAGGAAGAACAAAGTACATTATGGCAGAACACACTAGGAGTTACATGAAAGCTAAACCCGTGGGCAAAGGGCCGCATCCCCATCACATTCTGGGTTACTGAGCATTTCGGCAGGAAAGTTAGGATCTTGGTTCTCGTACGCTCCACTCTGATCGTGAAACTGCACATTCTCGCCACGCAGGGTGTGCACCTAACAGACTGTGCTAGCTCCCTTGTGTTCCACGTGCGCTCTGGCCACGGCCAGGACACGGGACTCTACGGAAACGCTGTTCCAAGCACGACTGATGATGGATTAAAGAACAAAACGGTCAAGTCCTCCAAGCGAACAAGCGTGGTTACGCTGTAGTAAACAGTTTGGGTTGGGAATATGGGAATTAAATAATCTAAGAGACACTCTTGCTCCGCTGTACATTTATGAACACAGATATTTACACGGGGGAAAAAAATCTGGGTTTCGAAAGATGAGGTTTGCAGTTTATGAATCATCATCATCTTTTAGGAGCTGGTGTCTTTGGTGTACTTGCCAAATGGACCTTTATGAAGGTTTAGTCAGAGGCTGAGAGAATAAATTTCAAAAGGAACATGAATGATCACTGACAAAGCTGATACTATTCTGAACGTCTCCATCAGGATTCTGGAAAAAGCAATCAGTGGATTTTCTGAAAATACTTGTTTTCTCTGCTCATTCTGTGGCCACAGAAGGCTTCTCTGACACCCCGATTCAAATGAGGACCCACATGTTTTCCCCTGTATTCCACGGACTACTGGCTTCAAGGCATTTTAGTTACTGCGAAATAGGATATGTGATTGGGATTTTATTTAAAAAAAATAATAATAAAACATTCTTTTTAAGCTTCCAGATAAATCAAACCTCAAACAATAAATAATGGAATTATACACTTCTTCATTAAATAGAAATTTCGATCCCAGGAAGAGCTCCTCATAATTGTTCTTTTCTGAAGTCGCAGCAGCAATACAGAACGGAGAATCGACCTTACTCTGATCTTTGTGCGTGGAACTCCCTGACTCAAATTTGGTGGCTTAGTCTAGAAACCTCGGAATGGTTGGGAGAGGAAAATCATTTCCAACAAACTGATCCGCTGAACGCCCGCCCAGGAGGAAAGCAGCCCTGTGCAAACACAACCCTGACCTTCCCGCTCGGGGTGCAGGCCCCGGGGCCCGGCCGCTGTCCTGTCCCCTGGGGTTCTGGGGGGCAGCTCAATTCATCTCTGGCCGTGCTGTGTCCCGGATGCCGCTCAGGTGCCTTAGCTCCGACCTGGGTTTTTGTTTAAAGAACCAGAACACAGTCGGGCTCCTGATTTCCCAAGGGACTCTGTCTCAGAAGTTAACGTTTTGGAGATATTTTTATGGGGAAGGTGGCCCCTTCCCAAAGGACAGCGACGGAAGCCTCCCAGTTCCGTGCTGGACACTGTCCAGGTGGCCAGTTTAAACTTAACGCCAGAGAAGCAGAAATTCAGACAAGAGAAACCCTTCACCACGTCAACTTCTGACAAGGAATTTATTCCTGGTGCGTAACTGTTTTGACATTTCCCAAGCGCTAAGCACAGTGCAGGGATGTTGGGAAAGGTGTCTCAGAAACGAAAGGATGACGAGTCGAGCACAGAACCCGTTTCCGAGGGCATCGTCCCAGATCCCCACTGCTCCCAGGAGCTGCCACCATCCCTGTCCCACATCCCATCCGTTTCCCCAGTGCACGCCTGTGCCCGCCAGTACCTGTCCCGGCAGTGCTGTGCCCAAGAGCGTCCCCGTCTGCACACCGACAGCAGACAGGGGATGTTCTGTGAGCATCTTAGGAATTAACCAGACACAAATGTGCACCTGTTAGAAACGTTACCCTTTAGAGGTTTTTCTTACCCGGGCAGGAACACCCACCGGGGGACCACCCCGAATTACTGAACCATTAGAGCTAAATGGGGTGACGATATGTCGGGCTATTTTTAGGGAATACTCTGTCACCAGGATATGCGATTTTCTGCTCAAAAGTGGAATCAAGGATGAAGCTTAAAAGGGAAACTGCAACCAACATACTATGTGGTTCTGCAATTAAAATGAAAGTGACGGTTCCTAGTGGGGGGGGGGGAGGGCAGGGCCGGCTGTGGAATGAGAACATCAAGTGAAAATAATGGATAAAAGACACCAGGAAAAGTATTGCACTGGAGGTGTTCTAAAAACAGGATACAGTGGCTTTAGAAAGTTACTTGCTTTCTCGTTAATTTTTTTTTTTTTTTTTTTTAAAAAGCACTATTCGAACAGAGACAACTTGAGGCCCAGTGTCTCTGGGTAGTGTACTACAGTTGTTAAAAAAATAAGTTAAAACCAAGAGGACGTCGACAGGAAAACGGAGGTACTGGGTTTCTGTCCCCCGGAAGCTACAGTTACTAGGAAAGGAACAGTTTGGAACAGCCGATTCGTGTCCGTGAAAAGCGAAGGAGGTGGTGGCAACACTCGAGGAATCCAGGAGGGCATTTTCCAGTGGAACCCAGGACCCCCGTGGGCGAGACGGACTCCTAACCTGTGCCCTGCTGGCTCGTAGTAACATGCACGCCAATGAGACCGTACATTTTGAAAAGGGCAAATTCTCCACTCCGGACCTGCTTGCGTCGTTTTGGAAAAACAATTTTTGTAAATGCAACATTGTATAGAAAGCTTGGACCTCTTAAACCTGGACCAAGGAACCAAATTAAGACCTTCAAGCATGTGGTGTGTGTGTGTGTGTGTGTGTATGTGTATATATATACATATATATATATGTATATATATATAAAACCCTCCCCTACAATGAAAACCAACCAACCAAACAAACAAAAATAAACCTAAAAGTGTATACCTGCTTTCTGACTTCACAGCAAATCAGAAATTGCATAGGATATACTTTGTGCAAGGCAAAAAAAGCCTTTTTAAGTATCTGGAATATTACTTCTAATCTTGCTCACAGTTCTGTGGATATCAGATATCATCGAATTTGTGTTTTAAGTAGTCTTTTATGACCTTGGCGATTGGGAGTTCATCAAGTAGTCTCAGGTTTTGAAGGCCTATACACTGTCGGATTTTAACTCGGCACAGGTCCTGCAAGTTTCTGGGCTGCCCTGAAGAGACAGAAAAGAGAAAAGGTTACAAAGCTACGCAGTAGGCTTCGAGGCTCTGAAAATCACTGTTTATCTCCCTGGCCGGCGCCTCTCTGTGGGCCTCACACGCCCGTGATTAGGGAGACTCCTACTGACAGAATGTATCCTGGGCTCCTTCCTGGGATTTCTCATTCGATCCACCCTGGGATGCTCGATGTTTGCACCTCCGTCTTACACATAAGGACACTAAGTCCCAGGGACACTGCTCAATGTCAGGTGACCAACGAGGCTTTCGGATTCTAAGCCTGGGTCTTCCCAGCAGAAGCTGGGTGACCGTTCTCGTCCTGGCCGGGCTCTGATGTGCCGGGGAACCTGTGTGAGCCCATCGGCCCCTGGGCGTCGCTGTCTCCACCTGAAAAGCGAGGGGACCAGATGAGATGCTCTCTAGCGTGGCTCCTACGCACGTGGGAACCTGGACATGTAACGGCTTCTGAAGAGCTTCCACAGAGGACATGGGCCACCTGTGCACCGTGACTCTGGACAGAGCAGAACCCTGGCTGTGGGGTGAGGCGCAGTCGGGTGGGCAAGGCAGGGAGGCAGCGGGAAAAGCACCCCTAGCTTTTCAAACCTCACACCCTGACCATCGCCCAAGGAAGAACCTCTGCTATAACCCAACTCAGAAGAAAAAGGACAAAATCCAACTCCGTTCGCTTCCGAATGCTATGTCTTACCAAAATACAGATGTCTGCAAACATAAGCCCAAATCCCGAGCTCCAGTAGTGTCTGGGTTCACACCAATTCTGCTTCCACATTCAATGGCAATGGTAACGAAAGCTAACATACGTGGAAAGCTTACTCTGTGCCCTGTATTCTTACGAATGCCTTTAATCCTTTTACGAGGGAAGTACTTTGATCACTGCCCCATTTTACAGACTCCTCGTGTCTAGAGATTAAGTAACACTCAAAGTCAAGAAGAAAGCCCTGTTACAGTGCTTCTCAGACCTGTCTCAAAACCTCTTGAGACTTTTAAAAATGATCAACGACCCAAAAGAACGCGTTTGCATGTGGGTTATATCTATTGATAACTACCGTATCAGAAGCTAAAAGAGAAATTTTAGACACACGTATTCATCCATTTAGAAACAATAAAAATAAGCCCATTTTGAAAATAACAAAATTGCCCCCAAACAAAGTGAGAATGATTGCATACTTTCACATTTTAGTAAAGCTTTCATTTAAAACAAAATACATTTTTATTCATTTTTTAAGGAGAGAGAGAGAGAAATATCGATGTAAGAGAGAATCGATCGGCTGCCTCCTGCAGGCCCCCCGCTGGGGATCAAGCCCGCATGTGCCCTGATCGGGAACCGAACCAGGACCTCTCGGTCCATGGGATATGCTCCATCCACTGAGCCTCACCGGCCGGGCATCACATTTTATGAGCTTTTAAATGGCTGGCTGAATTCTCATCTATGCTCTGTATCCAATCTGTCGTGATGAAATCATGACATCTAGTCTCTGGAAGAGTCCACCTACAAGCATGAGAAGGAAGGCGAAAAAGGCAGATCATGCCTCGGTACTATTAGGAAAATCATTTTGCCCTCGGATACCCTGAAAGAGTCCCCGGGAACCCCAGAGGTCCCAGGCCACACATGGAGAACCACCGCTCTACTTAGGACTTGAGCTGGACTTGTTTGTCTATAGTGATCACCATTATTCGAAGTTAATTCTTCATACATTAAAAAAAAAGGCGCCCTGGCCGGTTTGGCTCAGCGGTTAGAGCGTCCGCCTGCGGTCCGGAGAGACCCGGGTTCGGTTCCCGCTAAGGGCATGTACCTTGGTTGCAGTTTGTCCCCGGCCCTGGTTGGTCGTGCGGGTGGCAGCCACTTGATGTGTCCCTTTCACGTCGATGTTTCCCTCTCTCTCTTCCTCTTTCTCCCTCTTCCTCTCTCTCCCTCTTCCTCTCTCTCCCTCCCACTCTGTCTGTACAAAAAATGGAAAAATGTCCTCAGATGAGGATTAAAAAAAAAAAAAAAAGGCTCCTTAAAAGTCAGACTTCCGCTCGGGGATGCCTGTAGGAACAGAGTGTTTTCTAAGAGTTACTTAACACATTCAAGGGCTCTCAGAAGAGTCCCAGCAGAAGGCAATGTCTGTAAGCAGGCACGCGAGTGCCCACAGAGTCTGCACGCCCCCCCATCCCCCACACGCCCCAGCGGGATTCTGCTCCGTCGCCCGCATCTCTGCTCCAGGGCACCCGGTTAGTGGGGAGAAGGGCAGGTGCCCCAGCACAAGCTCTCGGAGTTCCTTCTGTGCTTAATGAGGCTCCACGGGACGGGCCACTCCGGCGGCCGAGGAGCCCGGCGCCTGCCAGGATACCCCACCAGCACCAGCTGGACGCATCCTCGGCCGCTCGTCCTTAAAGGAGAAAACCAGCCAACACGTTGCAAAACACGCCGTGTCAACAGCGAATTGTTCTCTAAGCTGCTGTGGATTATTTTTCATCGCCATTCATAGGCTACCACTTGGAAGAGAATAAATTATCACTGTCGTTTTTCAATGGATCCTACATGTGACCCGCACATGCAAACCAGAATGTGAATTAGATGTGAAATCTTCCTTTTGTTAAAGCGAAGAATTTGATTTCTCTAACAGATGGCAGGTTCTAGTACAATATTAAATAAACAAACAAAAAAAACAACACAAGAAACAATAACCACGAGGTACTCAGGCAAAGAACCAGGGAGGACTAAGCGGACCTACAGGAGCACACAGACAGACTTAAATGAAGACACAGCATCCAACGAAGCGGTGAGACCGAATTACTGGAACTGCTCAATTCTGGGTAAAAAGGAAGGGATGGAGACGATGGGGGATGAGGGACCTCCAGAGGGTCTCCTTTGGTGACACACCACTCTCTCCACAGTGACCAGTGTCTCCCAGCGTGACGGGACACTCCCATCGGAGAGAGAGGGGGGTCTCGGTGCCCCCTGGGGGCGGGGTAGGCTGTGATGATGGTGGCAGCAATGCCATGGGGCTCCCAGGCTAAGCAGGAAGAGGTGACATGGCTTTCACCTCACCCTGGGACACTCACTCTTAGAACAAGCCACCACCGCGCCACAAAGAAGCCCGGGCAGAGACCAGAAAGGAAGCGAGGTCAGTGCCCTCAGCCTGGCTGGGCTGCTGGGCATCTGGGTGAGGCTGCGGAAGGAACAGGCCCCCGTCGAGGCTGCTGCATGGAGCAGAGAAGTAAAATCATCACTGTTACTGTTTCAACCACTGAGCTGCACGGTGTCACCGGAGCGGTGAGCTTCCGGCCCTGGAAGGAGGGGCTGCCACAAAAGAAACCCCAAATCTCAGAGTCGCAGTCACGGGCTTTGGGGAGGCTGCTGGCCAGGGCTTACGGGGATTTGGCGACACCGTCACCCGCGGCCATGTGGAAACCGTCTAGTGCCGATCCCCCAGGCAGAACGCTGGGAGTATCACTGGTTCATCTCATCTTTGAAGAATGCAGAGGGACAGATGGGCCAGCAGCTTTCACTGGAGGTTCCACTGCGCCAGAGAACCAGCCCCTCGGAGGTCGGCGCCGCCTGGGCCGTGCAGGGGAAGGAGCTTCCTGGGGGCGGACACAGGCACGGCTCAGTCAGCCCCGATTCTTCTGCTCCGTGAGCATGGGCTGTGACAATCTTTCAATCTTTTCCTGTTTTGGGAGAAGCTTTTTTTTTTTTCTTTCAAATCCTCACCCAAGGATATTTCTTCATTTGTTTTCAGAGAGAGCAGGAGGGAGAGAGAGGAACGTCGATGTGAGAGGGATACATCGACGGGTTGCCTCCTGCACGACCCGGATCAGGGCCGGGAACCGAAACCGAGGTACGTGCCCTTGACTGGAATCCAATCTGCGACTCTCTGGTCCGCGGGGCGACGCTCTGACTGCTGAGCCACACCGGCCAGGGCAAGCATCTCGATTTTCTAAAGATGTCTTGACCACAAGTGAGTCTGGTCTGCAGAATGGCCTTTGGACAGAGGCGCAGACCAGAGTGGCCACGGGAGCCGGTCTGGAGCTCGACGCCCCGGGCAGGCCCTCCGCCTGCAGCTCGGAGTCCTCACCACGACCCGAGGACGACGACACCTGCACCCCAGGCTCTACGGGCGTAAAACGAGTTGATTCTGGTCAAGCGCTCAGAATAGAACCAGGCACACAGTGAGAGCTATATAAGTATTAAGCAAATAAGTGTTAAAATAGTAATATTTAGATACTTGTAAAAGTAATGTTTGCTTCTCCTTCCCAGAAAAGGAGGAGGCTCCCTTTTGGAAGCCGACTCCCTGTCCTCCGGGTGTTCAGAGTAGGAAAAGCGGCTGATGTCTCCCGGGACAGGTGCTTGGAATTGCTAACGCATCACCGCGAGGTCCCGGGGAAGCTGATGGAAACCACCACGCGTGTGAGTCAGGAGGGCTGAGAACTCACGAATACAAAGATGTGCAGTGATGAAGTGAGGCGTGACGTCACCCCGACCCACCGATGCACAGATGTTCCCCCAGCCTGCCAGGTAGCAGCTCTGAGTGACCAGCAGGCTCAGCAACAGAGGAACGAGGACTACTCGCTGTAACTACTGCTATTTCTTTCTTTAAATATCTGTTTGCGATTTTAGAGAGAGAGGAAGGGAGGGAGAGAGAGAGACATCGATGTGAGAGAAACATCCATCGGCCACCTCCTGCACGCCCCCTGCTGGGGATCAAGCCCGAAACCTGGGCATGTGCCCTGACCAGGAATCAAACCAGGACCTCTGTCCATGGGGCGATGCTCAACCCACTGAGCCACACTGGCCGGGTGTACTATTGTTATTTCTAAGATTACGGAGGGGTGTGTGTTTTCCCCAGGAATATCATTTTGGGCATAGAAGATTATGACTGGAAATCAAAGCACTTATTTTCTTGTCAACACATCACTCAAAGTATTTCACTGGGCACCTACTACGCACTAAAAAAACGCACTGAACCTCAGATTACAGGGGAGAGGAGGAGGC